TAAGACTGTTTGTATTTTGTTTCGTGGCACTAAAAAAATCTTTCTTTCTATAGTTTACGCGAGTAGTACACATTTAAATAAAACACTTTAACGGTTTAAAACGCGATCTCCCCGTGACCACGGCTGCTGCAAAGCATCCGAAACGTCGGGCCGAAGTTAAAAATCATTTTCAAATAAGTTTAACTAATATATCGCGTTTTAAACCGTTAAAGTGTTTTATTTAAATAAATCTTTCTTTCTTCTTTCTAATAAGTAACTTTGTTGTCTCCGGAAAGTGAATTCACTTACTTGTTATGCAAATTTCGATACATCTCCATTCCAGGGTCTTGGATTACCTTTGCTATTATATATTCCGGCTTCTGTTCAGTAAGTGAATACATACATATATATCTATATGTTAGCGGCCCTCGGCACAATAGTGGTCAATTATGAATTTCATTGAACGAGACGAGTGGTTTGCGGCCTATATATGCGATTTGAAACAATTTTAATGGAAATATCTTGTTTTCTTCATTATAACGGTAATTTTCAGGTTTTGAGGAATTTTAATTAAGTGTTTTTATTGAGATAAAATATCATTATATTGTTCTATATCTAAGTGTTCATATATTTCAATAAAACACTGCAACGGTTTAAAACGCGATATATAAAACTTTAAATTATTATTTGAAGATTATTTTAACTACCCGCGGCTCCACGTTTCTACAGACGACGTAGTCTACAGAGAGTATTTAATAATATATGGAGGTTTTATAATATAGAGATATTTAATATATAATAACTTATAATCTTTATTATTCAATTTAGCACAACGTTCATGTATTAATTCCAGGAAATATTACCGGAATTGTGTGTTGACCACACACAATTCCGGTCCACTTGATTTTATATATACATAGTTAAATTAATATTTTAAAACTTATTATTCAATATAAAATGACTCGTGACACAATAATGATGTTGAAAAAATTCGCAAACTCACGGGACACTAACACTGAACGCTCGCAGCGGCTCCTGAACCAGCGAGATAGACCACGGTCGTTAATAGAGAGGACGCGCAATACATTTTTTTTTCTAATTTAGTGATTCATGGTCGTTTTAATTAGCATGCTTATAATTTAAATATTTGTACTTATTTATGTCTACCCGTGCGAAGCCGGGACAGGGCCGCTAGTTTTAAATATATTTAGTCCCTTCGAAACATGTAACCTTTTTTAGATCTGTATGTTTTTATTTTAAGTCTTATGTTTTTTTTTTGTTTATGATTATTTATTGTTTGCATTAATTTGTTTCGCCTACCTTCTCATTCTCTTAATATTTCATAACTTTAGGTTGCCTGGAACAGATCGCTTGTTAGCGATAAGGCCGCCCATTGCTCACCATTCTAGTATATAAGTTTAATTTGTAATATTTTTATGTTTTGTGCAATAAAGAACAAAAAGAATCAATAAAATGAAACCGGGCAAATCATATTTAAGAGCTTCCGTTGCGTGTACTGCGAAAACAGAAAATATGAAACAATGATTCTACTATAAATCAGCTACAAAAATCTCGAATCTTCAAAGAACTTGAAAGATTATCTCGCATAAATGATGACGTGGGAAAGCTATAATTTATAAAGATATGGAGGAGGTTTGCCATACCAAATTTTGACGCCCTAAATAACTCGTATCCTAGTAATACTAGATTCGGGATGTTTAGTATTTCATTGAGTAAGGTGACCTGTGATGTTAATAAAGAATAAGGACGCCACTACACCATTTCAAAACTTGGCCTACTGACATAGATTTTATATAATTTTTATTTCAATAGGGTAACATTTTACGAAGCGCTTTAGACTTTTTAGGTAGTTAAAACCTTTTAACATGCCTAAGTACGATATTTATGTAAAAACGTGGGTACTGTGTGAAAACGGGTTTCCCCCGGGGGGGGGGGTTTAAATTTTTCGTTTTATCTGTCAATTTTGTTACGTTTTCTTTATGTAAGAAGTGGATAACCAGCGTGAGAGTTTACTTGGTGGTAGATTACATATAACATCGCGATCAGATGGCTATGGATCCAGGCTGAATCCAAAACGCGATTAAACTGGGCTGTTTGATCTATGGACGGTGGTTTATGACCCGGACGTAATTCAAATATTCCTGCCACGCATTTTTCTTATTTCATTATTAAGTCCAAGGCGTTTCAAATAACATTACATATTGACTACACAAATGTTGGAACCGGTGGAAATCGAACCTACGACATGTTGCTCCCATTGCACCAACGATCTAGTTAAATTGTGTATTTATAGAGAAGAAAATTTACGGTATGACTTGTCCAGTTGAAATTCTAAAGCCCAAAATATTCTATTACAGAAATGGTTTTTTTCGAAAGGGTCCCGAAATATTACGTTGTAAATCAATGATACCGTGGCCTGTGGGGCGTCGGGTACTCTGGCCCCATTAAGATCCACTCGATCGAGAAATTTCCATTACATGCAGACAGTCTCCATGTTTTATCACTGAGAGCGTATTGTCGTAAATTGAACGAGATTCGATTATAAGTGCTATCTGATTGGCTAACTATTACGAGCTTCTAAGTTCAGAGCTATACTGATTCGATACTGTCTGTAGTTTACGCGAGTAGTACACATTTAAAACACTCTAACGGTTTAAAACGCGATATATATTACTTAAAATTGCTTTAACAGTCTCCCTTACCACGTGCTTGAAGCATCCGAAAAGCTGTAGTTAAATATTTCAAATACGTTAAACTAATTATAGGCTTCTAAACCGTTAAAGTGTTGTACTTAAATGTTATATGGTTTGGGTATATCACTTCCCATCTAGTAAACCTCATGCTTCGTTTTTTCACTTTCATTTACGAAATTATCGTTTATTGTGTTAAAGGTAATTTATTGTGTCATTACCTTTTTTCTTTAACTAAATTGACTGCCTTTGGAGGCCTACAATATCGGTATTGCGAGGCCACTAAATTTTGTTTTTTATAAAGCAACTATGTAATGGGTTATTGAAATATATAGACAACGAAAAATGTAATATATATTTCATAAAAGTTGTAAAAATCTATTCAATAATTCTATTACACGTTTGACGATTACTGTAATCATCGGAAACGTTGGGTGGTAGGTGAAATAAATTAAACAATTTAAGTAATATCTTTTCAGTTTTGAACCGTTAAAAATATTTTTTTAATTGTCTAGTACTTGCGTAATACAATTTGTTTGAATGGTAAACAGGTAATTATCTAGACATCGAAAAGCTTTAAGTACAAACAAAACTTTCACTTTTATTCTTCAAATCTTCTATTCTATTTCTCCATTGTAATTGGTACGGTAGTTCAAGTACAGATTATTATAGATTGACGAATACAAATAGCACAAATAATTAAAATAAATTCCATTTACTAATTGTCCACAACTACAAAATGATTATCACTTACCGCCAGTAAACTTTGCAACAACACTTACACTGCATAATATTTCAATATTCATTTTTACATGTTGTGCAAGTCGCGTTTTTGAATACGACAACTCAATCTGAAAAAATAAAATGCGGACTCTACATGGAAGTGGGTCTTTCAGTTTCATGTTTCGTTTTAATTTCACTGCTGTTTGTGTCATAAATTAAATACTGAGCAAAAATATTACGTAGTAAAATCATAAATGCATTATTTATTTTAAATACGTATTTCGTAAATATTTGAAAGTGCTGTAACATTCTTAATGAAGTTTTTGGTGCATATTTCTAAGCTAATAACTCCATTTTTGTTACAGTCTATTATATTATAAAGATTTTACAAAGTTGTGGATAAACTGAAACTCCGGTGGAATTATAATTCTACAATATGCTGTTGACCTATTCTTTGTTAGTTCATGTTCCTTTTATTAGATTCATATGATGTTTCCTCTACATTCTAAATAATTAACATGTCTTTGACAGATAAATCTAAAAGGGTTTTTAGATCGACCTCGACCAATAGATCGAACTGAACCGTACAACCTGCAATCTCTATTCGATTAAGTAATTTCCTATAAAATTTTGAATTAAGAATGAATTTAAATCGATCCGACGACATGCACCTGCACTGCTGTCGCAATAATTGTGTTAGAATAATTTAGGACAACTAATTTAAATTCACTTGAACTTAAATCATATTGTCTGCACAGTAGGTAATAGTTGCAACACGGGTAGAATGCCTAATTCTCGTGCTTCGTGGTATTCTAAGCGATTCTGTGTGACCTAAATGAGCCACCGGAATTGGCACGGCCAAATATTTTAGCACAAATCCGACGGAACAGTTTGAAACATTAATTTCTAGAGTTAATAAACTCAAGTTTTGTTTGAACCTGATTAAGTGGTGACGCTTCTTTTATGCGAGCTCGGAATTGATTAGGAAACTTTCCACAGAATATATACGTCGTATTAATTAAAAACCTGTTTAATATTCCTGTGTTTGGGATGATGAAGTTTCTGACGATATTACGATATAACATCTCCTTTTTAAACTTTTATCATTGTTACTTATGAGTGTTTTAATATGTTGATTGTTAATGTTTGAAAAACAAATTATTAAATGCTTTAACGGTTTAAAACGCGATATATTAGTTAACTAATATATCGCGTTTTAAACCGTTCTTCTTAGCTGGCATTTTTCCACTTACTAGTATACTTTACAGGTTGTTAAATAAAAAAACAACTAAAAACAGAGAGTTTATTTTACGTCTTACTCATAACAATAACAGGTATTTTTATGTGAAGCTAAACGTCACTATCCTTAGATAATCTATAGTTAACACTATTTATATACAAGTACTATATAGTTATACAGCTAACGTACACAATAAAGGATTACGAGTTACAAAAACTCATTTACCTTTTATTCACAACAAAAGAGATTTAAATATATTACAAATAGATACAATTATCAATGTCTACTAAAATACGAATTCAATAATCTAACACCGATTGAAAATTACAAAATTTCATGTGTTCTCATCATCGGCCGTACCTGTAAACAGAAAAGTATTTTAAAACGCGAATTTAGATTTCAATATTTTTACCACATATATTTAATTACTTAATTAAATTCGTACATTACATTAAGTTCAAGTAACTAAAACTTATGCGTAAATAAGTATTTCTGACTTAAGTAACTGTGATAGTGCAAATATATTTTATACACGTACGAATCTTCCTATCAATACATATAATTGAATAAGTGATAACTAATTGAAAGAAACATTTATAATAATAATAAAATACGTTAAAATCAAAACCAATTCAAACTGGCATGGTTAGAAAAAAACTAAATAATTATGTAAACCTTATGTAAATTTCTGACACAACTGAGTAAAGAGTTGTCTTTTGAATGTGCTTTGCTTGCTCCTGAATATATCTATAACCCTATCCGTGCGACAAAATGTATTATACGATCGCATCATTCGAGCCATATGTTTAATATTAAGAATTTTAACAATTGAATTTTCGAGCTGTTTTGTCATCTTAACTTAGATATCTATTCTAAGCCCGATGAGAATCGAACCTTCGACCTTGGTTGATAGCATGTATTATGGGTCATCGCGCTCGACAAAAGCTTAGAAGCAAGTTAAAGGTTACATTGTTACACGAGTGACCGATTACCAACAAGGGTGCAATTTGGCCTCAAACCACACAAGTTGACGAGAGCACTTTTACGCGAGTGATATAGTACGTATTTAGCTCTGGCAGCGTATAAATGTATAAAGCTTTATAAAAGGAAAGTACTGAACAGATATACCAATATCAGAAACTAAACATCTATACATGTGAATAAACAGACATTCTTAATAACCTCACTTAGAAATAGACATAATAAAAATAGAAAATTGTAACATTCCTATTCTAATATATAAAAGTATCGTATCAGAGTGTTAGTTACCATAATCTAACTAAAAACGGCTGGACCGATTTTTATGAAATTTTATATGCATATTCAGTAAGGCTAAGAATTGCTTACTATCTATATTTCATACCCTTAAGTGATAAAAGTTATACAACCATAATATTTTAATTACTGGAATGTTTTTTATAAAATGGCTTAAAAAATACAACCCCTATTCTTAATGTAATAAATTTTCATCCCGCTCGATAGCTGATCAATTAACACTTAGTAGACCGTACGTTATTCCTTAGGTCATTTTCGTCAGTAAATAGCGAGGAGTAGGGCTGATGAGACTAAAACGGGTCTACCCAGATCCTTACACACTGGAAATTTTTATTATAATTTTCCCTAGAATTATACGACAAAACCAACTCTTGTTAAGTCAGCTACCTTTTACAAAAAAACATATAACCAATTTATGTGTTCACTTGTCATTTGAAGTTATAAAACACATTCACAGCAAAATAAACTTCACTGAATTTGACTCGCTGTACAGTATCTATTAAAATTTGTCATTCGTTAGTGTTAATGACACTTAGAGACAAATGACATTAATACCGACAATGCTACGCTTGCTTTAGCACGAAATTTTCGTCAAAGTAAGCGTAGTTTTGATGTTATTAAATGATATCATAATATGTCGTTGTATTTTATTTTAAACGTTTATTTTGTGCGGTTCAAGAGAATGATAATAAAACGTAGCTTGCCTCTTATTATGTTAAATTTAAATCTAAGTTTCAGATGTAATTTAAAAACCTTTAACGGTTTGAAACGCGAAATGTATAATTAAATCTTACAAATGATTTTAAAAACGGCCCGACGTTTTGGATGCTTTGTAGCCATGGTCACGGGGTGGCCTCACATGACCACGGCTGGTGCAAAGATTATACTGCGATATATTAGATATTATCTGTAGTTTAGTACTTGTACTTGTAGTTCAGACAATATAAATATATACTTTTAACGGTTTTGAACGGTAGATATATTAACTTATTATAACACTTTATACAAACACGTCCCCCCCGTGGCCATGCCCTACAAAATATGCGAAACATCGAGCCGTAGATAAATACAATAAAAATAATAAGGTTAACTAATAATTTTGGAGTTTTAAACAGTTAAAAGTGTTCCATTTAAAAGCCCACTCATTGCAAAAGTCACAAAATATAAATATATAGTGACTTATATTGAAATCTTATATCACTTCACAGAGAATAGACCCCCGTAACGTTATTAAAATATCGTAATTACAAGTCAAGTGTCGACTAAACGTAACTTAACGACAAAGCCTCCGTAACTAGAATCTACGCAACACTCCGCGCGACTTCAAACTTGGGAATGTTTCTCTTTGTGGAACATTGGAACTATTGAAAATACGGAAAGCTTTCACGTTCCATCGATTTCAAGTTTTGTTTGATATAAGCATCCTTCAGTTGCTCGGAAAAAATTAATCGCTTGTAGCCGTGGAACATTTCTTTGAATGATTTTTTTTTGTACGTACACTTTGTATAGTTTCACGAAAAGCTTTATTCCAGTGAAAATGGATGAGTGAAAAGGTTGAAAAATATAAAAGTATAAAAAGCGCTTGTTAGTTATTGAAATTTATATTCCCTACTATAATATTAACATCAAATGCTAAATTATGTAAATGATTGTCTGTTTTTTACTTTAAATCTAAATAAAACTTCATTATTTTGTATCTGTGTGAATTTGGAAGCTGTGACTTTTGAATAATGTTTTCATTATCTGTGGTTTATTAACTGGAAACTGTTGTGCAAAGTTTAAAATGAAGATTTTATAAAAACGAGATGTGTTTTATAAGAATAAACAAGTGAATTTATTTAAATTTTATTTGATATTAAAACTTATGTCGTTAATAGTTTTAGAAACAAATTAAACTTACCAGTATAAAAGTAATAAACACGACGCTTCTATAACGACGCTGAAACGCAGTAATTCAACTCCTGAAAGATGAGAATAAATTAATATACTCCTGAAACATAAAAAATGCGTCAAAAGTACATGAGTCATAAAGATGACATAAAGACTGTGTTTGAACAATAATTACTAGATAATCGCCTCGTATTATGTTAAACCAAAGTATAAATTTTATTTCCCCGGGGCTCAAACCCAGTGCCTCTTTCCGCTTAACGCAGTAGCTGTTTACCCATTGAGCCACGAAGGTCCTCCAAGCAATATATAAAAGTGGAAGCTAATTAATTTCTAACCCTTTTCCAATTTCTAAAGTCCCGTTATCGCTTGCGCGGCCCGAGCGAAATCCGCTCATGAAATTACAGGGGTGCTCAAATTACAACCTCAGCATTTTTCATATTCAAGGGGATTAGGATTGATTTCATTGGTTTATGAACACTTTAATATTACCCTTTTAAATTGAAAATGAATTGAACGTTCCCGGGAATCGCAATCAATTTAAAAATGTTATGTAAGCGGTAATGCAGATATTGTTCATTAAAATCTACTTAACGATGTACGTTCTCTTGTAAAAAGGAATTCGCTGGAATTGCATACTTACGCGCCTATTTTGGAGGTCTTTTTTGGAATTCTATATTCCTCCGGATATATTCGTCATTCGCGTGATGCAAAGTGAAAACCTTACACCCTCAGATCTAATCAAGATCCTCTGTCAACTTATATTGCCTTTCGGAAATTTATAGGCCAGGCTTATTTTTTAACTTCGCTAAAATACATATTGACCGGTTCGTTGGTATAGTAATAATGTATGGCTAGTAAGAAAACGGGTCATGGGTCGATTCCTGAATTTTCTGAATTCATATTTTTTCTGATGGTTGAACTTCATCTGAAAATCTGGATATTAAATGGGTGGTAGGAATATCGAAATTCCATTCGGTGGAATTCTGATAATCGAAAGACAAATGGGTCGACAGAGTATCTTATTTAGATGTCATATGGTGTTTCACCTTCCATCAAGTAGTCTGTCCTCCTTTATAATAAATAATAATAAACTATAAGTAAACAGTGTAAGGAGACAATGAACTGTTTCATACCGTAACAGCCCGACAGAACTGAAATAGAGATCACATGAACTGGCATAGCACAATAACAGTTTCGTACCAGAATTGGAGTCTCGGCTGCCCATTACCGGAGCAATCTGCGGCCGTTCTTCGTCGAGAATGAGCACGCCGCTGTTCGACCAAACGGACAGAATTCGCGCCACACACGTCACATTCAAACGGCCCTGCCATTATATTGGATTAGATCTGAACCTAAGTGAAACTGCACAGGCTTTATTACAGGTCATTGGGTCGGCTTCCAAATTATCCACAGATTATATTATTCAATTCTCCTCGCTTTTATCTGTGGCGCTGGCTGAATTTCGGCGCTGAAGGTTCCATTCTCGAATACTGTTTTCCGACGGAAAGCTGAATATTTTTTTCCGTTTCACCCAAATTTGACGGCAATGTCGCAGTGATTCTTGATAAATGGTTCAACCGATAACCAAAATAAATAATAATAATTCGTTCCTGACATTACTTAGCTAAACTTTTCAGCTTTATATGATATATTTGCCAGATGTTTAAAACAGCCATTTACTATATATTTATTTAGGAATATTCATCTCTCTATGGTTGTAACACATTTATCTTTAAAATTATTTAAACTTTACCAAGGCAATTACACGTCCAAAATACAACAATCTATTAAAATAATTAGCATTAACTATGAATTCAGTTTGGCTTGAAACAAGCCAAAATATAACCTCAATTTATTAACTGTCATGCCTCGATTCGAATTAAATTATACAAAAATATGACGCAATGTGTTCACTACATTTCGACTCGCATATATGAAAAGGAGATAACAAGAACCCATCCCTCTAGCGTCATTAAAATTATGTTTCCTCTGCGTTTTATATTTGTGACGTGTTTCGAAATCTCCCCAGTAGCTCTCGTCAACCGCTCTCCGTAATTAATGTTTGTAATACTTGTTTTGTTAGAAGACTAGTCTGTTTCACTGATCTTTAATACGCGGCGCTGTGGGGCGGCTTCATTATATCGGTTTCCTGATATGTCTGTATGATAAACTAGCATATAACGAGGTATTGTCATTATGCACGTTTAATAGCTTGATTTATTATTAAAACTATACGTTAATTACGTATATTACTTGTTTAAATCCGTAATAAAAATCTATGGATAATATGGTTATTTCATGTATCTATTAATGTAACAGAGAACAATATCTAATAAAAAAAAATATATAATGGTTTAGATCGAATCGCGCCATTTAAAATATTTGAATACAAACGTTTCATAATTATAAAAAAATAACTCAAGATCAGAGACCCTGTCTGTGCAGGAGGACATTAAGTTCGCGGATCGGGCGAAAGTGCAGGCAGCAGGTAATAAGAACGGCTACTTCCGGGCACGAAGACAATTTTTCTGCACATATAGTTAGAACAAGGCTTATCTTAGTTCCGCAGCCATCAATCCTATCCGAAAGCGTTTGGTAAGCTACAAGTTTTCTTTTCAAAAGGCCATACTGGCTCTCTTAGATCCAAAGAGTATATATTATTATGCTATAGACAAGAAAAAACAAGAATTTTAAACACTGATTGAAACATTCAAGTACTTGTACTAAATTTACCTTCGTCGTATATTCAAAAAATCTAATAAAGTAATATCCACTTAACACAATATTCTTGTAAAAGATGAGATGTTGTTTTGGTGTCACGGCGAACAACGCAAAAAATAACCGTTGATTTAGGCAGAAATTTTACGGTTTGTTTGAGACCGATAATATATATTCTTTGGAAATTGCTCCACTATTGTATGAGTTTAGTTAAGCGCAATATTATATACATCTGGCATATATAATTTATAGCCGATTTATAGTTAGTAGAGAGGATTTATTTTATTCGTTAATAGATTTGTTACAATTTTACATAGATTACCTTCCTTGCTTATTAATGTGCTAGATTTTAGTGCTATACAAGATGTCCTTAATTCATAGAGTCAACAAGAGACATACAGCATTTTATAGAAGCGGAAAGTTTAACTTTGCATATCTCTTATATATAAAACTGTAATAACAATATTTAACTTGGTGTATAATATGCTAAATATTGTTTTTTCGAAATTTGGTAAACTCGCTAGATAGTTTACAATTTAACGTATAACGGAATCAAATAAAAAGTATTAGAGGAATTTAAAATTTTGAAAATGGAACATGTTGAAATTCGAATTTCAAAACGTACCTTTTGAAAATGCGACGACTGAACCCTTACTATTAGTTGACTGAAGGAAGACGTCTTGTTTGATTTCTCCTCTTCGCTACTCATATTTTTACTGACTTCCACCCTAAATGAAGCGCGGGTAGAGCTTTCAAAAATCCCCCTCTCTTCCATATTCCTCGAAGTGGCTTCCTCGTAACCCGTGTCCCAGGGACTGAATATAATTCTATTAGCGTCTTCTAAGGACGCATCGCTTATCACAGGTTGCTTCCGATTGTACGACATATCCGGAGGCGGTATGTCGAGTCCTTTTACCTGAAACAATATCGAAACCGTAGAAAGATATTTGAGAACACGTAGATAGGCAAATTGTCCACATATATTGATTTTCATCTTAAATATATCTTTGAAATATCTTTTAGTTTGTATGCTGTATGCAAGTAAGTAATACTTTAATATTATGAAGTCGACATATTAATATGCGTAATGTTTATGTGTAGTTCCTCATTTTAATAGATTATTTAAATGTTAAACTTTTTTCTGCTAACCATTTTGTTATATGTAACCACCATTATATTTCGTGAATTAAATTGTTCTAAAAATCATATTATTATATTACGAATAACGTCAAATCATATAATAATGTGATGTTTTAACATTATTTGTATAAACAGGTCGAGACAAAAATTAAATAAAAATCCTTTTACTTAGTCCGTTATCTCTCATCAATATATTACCATATAGGCTAATAAGTAATCACTTCTATGCCCTGCCCAACCGAAACTATTTATATATTATACATTTCCCCAAGATTTCAATGCCAGTCAATGTGCAAAAAAACCGCTTCTAATCAACTCGATTCGAGAAGTTATAAAGTTAATTGGCTTCTGGAATAAGCACGTACTCCCATCGCCATAAGTTTTCAGTGGCTACAGGCTAGTTAATACCTCATAACCGTTTAGCAGCCAGGTGAGGTTGGCTGGAGGGTCGGCCGCTGGAGAGGTGCAGTTCGCACGTAACATATCCCCAACGGAATACCAACTCTTTTGAGCTCCGACTATTGGAGCCGTGTCGGGCAATTCTGTGGAATAGAACTTAGTTAGAGACTTTTTTCCCCTCCCATCGGATACGTCCGGATCGCTTTGTCTACTTTACTAAAATAGATCGGACATTTTTGTTTTTACCAGTAATTTTAAATGTTTTTTCATTATGTTTCCGTATATTGTAAGTAAATGATTGGAAATTACAAGTAAAAACAAGCGACTGGGTTTTACACAAAAAATTTATCAAAATTCTTGATCAAAAGTGACATTTATGTAAGTTGCATACAAATATAAATAAAAAAAGTTTGATAGTAGAAGAGAATAGATTTTTTATATTTCATCTGAAAATGATTCAAGTAAGAAATTCTCTACAGATTCACCCATTCGCACAAACTTTTGCATCCATAGTAATATTAAGTACATTAGAAATCTATTAAGCATAATGTTAAACCTATTGCTTGTAGTTTACGCGAGTAGTACACATACTTATAATAATTATTTAACGGTTAAAATACGGAATATCATGATATACATATTGCTTATTTTAATTATTCAAAATGTCGGATTGTAAGTGCTTCGCGTTTTAAATCGTTATACAATATACATATTTATAAATAAACATATTTATTAGCCTTAACAAAATACTTGTTACACCACTTTCAAAGAAGACTGTGTTTGAAAACTTTTGCAAATGTTTACGATTTGTTGTCAAAGTTTTACTAAAATATGTAACGTTTTAAGAGTAAAAGAACAAAGGTTTACGAAACTAAAGTAGCAACAGATTATAAATTAAACACGAGACGTAGGACTCCAAACAATATTTCGCATATCGAAAGCCCCGATATCTATTGCCAAAGTTCTGTAACAATATAAGCGTTGTTCGAGCGGAATAAACTGAATTTTCCACGGAAACACGTCACAGTCTCGCGTAAGCGGCAAAGCGAGAAAAAAATTCGATCGCAATAAATCAAAGGAGGTCGCACGCTGCGCTATGATTCTGCGTTAGCGACGATGCATATTCATTCTCCATAAATGTTCATCCCGTTTCGGGATCCTTTAAGCGTCAAACGGGTAGGACGGTTGAAGCTCGACGCTTTGTTTGTCAGCTCCACCTAACAGGCTGCGGTCTCATAACAACGCGTTACGCCGCGTGCTGCGGCGCATATCTACTAATATATAAACTAAGAGTTTGTTTTATGTTTGAACCGATAATCTCAGGAATAGGGTTTGAATTTAAAAACGTCCTGTAAAAGAACGATCAGCGAATTAAACAAATTGGGATATTATTCATCATTATGTGTTTCCGAGGTGTACGTTTCAAAAACGGTTCAAGATATCCAAAAATATGTATTAGGGTATGATTCCTCTTTAAATGATCTAAAAAAGTCCGCGACGCTATATGTCTATCTTTTAAGATTAACTTTCAAGAACGACGGAAAGGAAAGCGACCGACGTCTGGGTAAGCTTAAGTTTATAAAAGAAGCTTTTGCAAAAATGAATTTGGATGCCCAAAAACGATTCTCGCAGATGAAGTCGCTGACGCAGATACTTATTAAGATTGGTCTTAAGCGCGAAATACGACGTCTCACGTCTTATTAATTACAGAAATTTACACAAAATAGGTCGTACAGCGTTAAAGCTAATCAAGCAACGTTAACGCCGATGCCATAAGTAGATTCTAGTCTAGTTGTAATAATAGTCGCTGAACTTTTTTTCTTATGAGAGAGGGAGATAGACAAGCATGGGATCCATTTGATAGTAGGTGAAATACCCCTACTATATAACATCTAAACATACGCTGTCCATATATTTTCAGCTTTGGATATTTGAAAATTTACAGACTCAAAAGGTAACGCAAAACTTGTCAACTTTTAGAACTATACATAGTGTGTGCACCGGACGGTATCTCGATATTCCTTCCACCCGTTTAATGTCCAGAATTCTAAAATTTTTCCCAAACATTATAAATTAATTAGAAGAATGTTGGGCTCAATGGATCCATTCAAATCGCTACTGTATGAAAGAGACAACAATATTCTATAAAAGCCGCATCAGGACTTGGCAATGAAAAACTCGCGAAAGCATCAAGCGATAGAAATAAATTTACAAACAGCCAAAATCAAGTTTGTATCAGTTACATCTATAAGTTATACGAATTATGGCTGTACCCTTCGTTCGTATCGTATCGTATGCACCATTTATAGGAGACCGCAGCCTTATAACCCCTCTCCGTGGAAAGTTTTAAGTGTTTACATTCCTGTTCTGACGCTTTTTGCCAATTCTACTTAATGGAACGCGCAGTTCCCCTGTTTAATTTGGAGCGGTTTAAGTGTTTCAATACGATGTTATTGTAACTGGATTAAAATGGGTTTGAAGATTGTTTCACTAATTAACTCTCGTACAGTGCTTACATATATGTAATTGTATGTTTAACACGTAGTTGATAATGTAGTATTGAATACGATTCATATCGTGGAGCTGTTTGTTCGTAATAAGTTATTTTACTTTAAAGAATAGCATTAAATTGTTTTACACTAGGCAAAACTCACGTTCACGATTATATCTAAATATTAAGTATTGTCGTAGATAATTATATATCAAGCAAGCTACCACATAACAAAAGTTTAATTCCTATTATACGGTTTATTTGTTGGTATTAGTACATAGTGTACATACATTACATGATTATACTACTTGTATACATTTAATAATTGATCCTGTTCTTTCCTTTGGGTAAGAAGTTAAAAAAGAAAAAGCCAAATATTTTTGTATGTTATTTTTTAAATATTGTCTATAGTTTACGCGAGTAGTACACATTTAAATAAAACATTAACGGTTCAAAACGCGATATATTAGTTAAACTTGTCTCCCCGCGACCACGGCTGCTGCAAAGCATCCGAAACGTCAGACTGAAGTTAAAAAATTATTGTAAAATAAGTTTAACTAATATATCGCGTTTATACCGTTAAAGTGTTTAATTTTAATGTTATTTTTTTGTTGTGGCTAAAACATATAATTGTTTAAATTGTTGTCTATGTATATGATATTGATTTCGTAATTATATTTTTGAATAATCTAAACAAAATAAATACTTCGTGTGAATCATTAAAATTTAAAATCATTAAATAACAAATATGATTAAAACAATATCCCGAAGTGCTATGCATGGAAAATGTACTGAATTGAAGCTTTGTTCTTTTGTTTATCGACTGGACGCTCTGCCATAGAATAAAAGTAAAAACACGTCTTAACAGAATGTTAATTGACACAATTAATGAGGATTTCTCGTTTTATAAAAGTTTAGTTAGTTTTTATGTTTGTGTATGACTTGGTAATTTTTTTTACATTTTTAAAATGTCATCACTACTTAAGTAAAACACTTTAACGGTTTAAAACGCGATATTTTGTTTGACAATCATTTTTAACTACGGCCCGACGTTTCGGATGTTTTGCAGCAGTCTTGGTCACGGGGAGGAAAAAATATTTTTCGAACAAGTTTAACTAAATATATGTCGTTTTAAACCGTAAAGTGTTTTATTAAAATGTGTACTACTCGCTTAAATTACGTACAGTATCACTACTTAAGTTTATAAAATTGTATTACTCATCATTGATTATTGTTTTTTTTTTTTCGATAGAACTATAGTAGTATTATTTAATGACAGAGAAGGAGAGACAAGTATGGGGTAACTAACTTCACTTGATAAAACTACTCTAGACATTTAAATAAAATACTTTAACGGTTTAAAACGCGATATATTTTAGTTAAACTTGTTTGAAAATTATTGTTAACTACGGCCCGACGTTTCGGCTGCTTTGCAGCAGCTTCCCTGTGACCACGGCTGCATGCATGCATGTACAGTGTCAATTAGTTGAAAATATAAGACGCTGAGGTGTAAGACTCGGTAGGTTAATTGGTTAATGATTGGTTTAAACTGTCAAGTCCTGCCGGAGTCGAAAATTATTTTCAATTTTTTATCTTATATAGATTACTTAGGTATTCATTAAAATTGTAATATTTCGCGTTTTTAACTGTTTAAAGTCTTTAAATTAAACATCTACAGGTTATTTTTAAATATGATTGTTATTATAACTATTTTTAATTACAATGGATAACCGAGAGCAAAGTTAAGCTGTGGAGTTTTGCACATTCCGTAATAAAACTATGACGATATTTTCGATATTATTGTGGACATATATTTACGAAACAATTTAGTGAATAAAATTGTGGTCTGACTTACAAAAGCACTTTTTACGTTAAATCATTGCTTTATGACAATAATATTATAATACATATGACGGCGACCTTTTGTTCGGTATATTTATTCTCTATTTTCGTATTCTATATACGCATTTGCGTCGTATCTTTTTACGACAGCTTTTTTACGTCAGACGTCAAACTGGCTTTGTCCCCAATTTTATTTGTTTTGCCTAACCGCGACTCAATCATTTCGTTAATCGGGTTTCGGGTACTTCTCTATTATTGAACTGTATTATGTTATTTATTAGTATAAAAAATTTTTATGGTTAGCGTAGGTAAGAATTTTTTTTAGTTGATAAAAGGTGCAATAACATAACATACAACATACATAACAGTTGTTTACGGTTGAGTTAAGCCGTTTTTGCCTAGATGGGATATCTATGTAGGTAGATTGACAATACTTCTGTGCTCTGCCCGAACGAAATTATTGAATATATTCCCGGGAAATGCTTACACTGAGCGATGGAGGCAAAACTAATTAACGATTATTACAACTATAATTTGTATTTTGGCCTTTGTTACTTGAAATTATTATTTATTTTTTGATTGCTGTACACATTTAAATAAAACATTTTAACGGTTTAAAACGCGATATATTATTTATGCTTTGCAGCAGCCGAAACGTCGGGCCGAAATTTCAAATAAGTTTAACTAATATATCGCGTAATATATAGATCTCGTTTGAAGCCTTTAGTTTATGTATTATTTTAAACTAGCTTTGTCCGTGTCCCATCATTATTGCACGTTATTCTAGTAGTCTTATTAGATAGACATGTA